CATAACACCTATAAAATCAGATCAGTAAACAAGTGATTTTTATTTCCTTAAGAAGAAAACAAATAAGGAAAAGAAAGAAGAGTAACACAGTACTGACCCCTCTGCACAATTCAGGTGGAAGGTGCTTTTGATGTGAAGTGTATTTCAAGAAGAAAAAAAAAAAAAAAAAACAAACAAAAACACCACAGTGAAAAGATCAACTCTTAAAAATGCAAGAAAGTTTCTGCTTAATCTAAATAAATTGATTATGTGGCAGTGCTACTCTCCTGGGGTGGTAGACTATTCTGGGAGCATAAAGCCAATACACGTAACAATACTGGTGGGCAAGAGGTTTTATTCTCTTTCTGGCAAGACATAGGTATGACATCTCTGGAAGGGAACACAAACCAAATACCTAATCTCTCAAGTGGGGTGCTGAGATGCAGACACATTCGAGGTGTGCTGATTTGTATGATGGCAATCCATGGACTCCCAAGCAGACCTGACTGGAGCTAGGGTGCCCACAGTGAATAATGCCTCCACACCAACGCACCCTGCAGCAGATGGACATTCTGTTAGTGACTTCCCTGGGATCTTGCAAAATCGATGTCACAGAATAAACTGCCAACTGCAGACCACAACCTCAGTATATACACCACTCTTCCCCCTCAGTAATTTCTCCCATACTATCTCCCATAAGTTGTATGATGAACCAGAGGTTGCACAGAAAACTTTTACTCGCAACTCAAACATATTTTCAATGCCTTGCTTGTTTTCAAGAGCGGCTGATGTTTCAGTGCACTGAAGTACACTGAGAAACACTCTATTTGCGACAGATCTGCTTGAAAGTTCCTTTCTGTTTCCCTCTATCCCCAGCTGTTATTACTAGAAACTTTAGTACGCTTTATGATGGTGTTTGAAGTACGAATGGTACAGTCAGAGATGTGTCATTTGAAATATTCACTGTTCCAAACTGGGTTAGGCAACAAGGGACATTTTGTATGAATACAGGATATTTATTAAGAGTTCCTCTAGTCCTGCTGCTTATTCCCTACCTGAAGTCAGAAGCCTGTGATGTCCCAGACAGAACTGGCTGCTATGGAGATGATTACAATTTCACAGGGGATTGAGGTGCCAAACAAAGCATCAGATACACTTTTCACATAAAGGCCTTTAGTACTAAAGAAGGAAGGAGAAGGGAAGACATGCATGATAAAACACTGGTCTGAAAAATCACATATCAGAAGGTTGCACTTCACATCCATGCTGCAGAAGCTACATCTGAGCTTGAACGTATCATGCAAGAGATGACCAAACCACTGAGATGACATCTAAGAAACTGTAGTGCAGAACACAGCGGAGACTGGGATGCCCAAGAAGCATGAAGACAGTAACAAAACAGAGGGAAGGGAGGAAGTAGGACACAGAAGCACATCCAAAACTTAAGAAAGTAGCACAGGACAGCATGTATTTGCAAAAGAGAATGTATGCAACAGGCAACTGCCCTCTCTAAAAACTAAGTATAAGATATATTCAGGAAATGCTCACGAATTCTCTGTGATGTGTCAGAAGTTACAAGCACTGCATTCTTACTAAAGGACAGTTAAGGTATACTACTAGCATGCTTCCATGGACATGGATCAATGGACTGGTTGGAGGCTCCTTCAAATTCTCCCTATGTTTTATCTTTACACTTTTTCCACAGCCCAAAGTTTTTCAGGTTATCTCAGCGTGGCTTTGAACAGCAACAAAGAGCTAGGACAGAGTCATGTGTGATTCTCTGCCTCTTCGTCTCCCTTTATCAAGTAACTCATTTAGAAACAAACTGTGAAAGCACATTTCTAAAGCTATGCATTACATGCTGGCTCAACTAAAGGATTCAAATACTGGCCTGCCAGCTGACAGGCAGGCCAAAAGAAATATATTACAAGCCTCTTAATTGAGGTAATGAAATATTATTGGTACATTCTCTATGAATAAAGCCAGACACTCTTAGCCTCATCCTGAACTGACATCAACATGCAACATACGAGACCATGCAACTGATCTCCTAGAGCTGAGCTTCACTCTAGCTAGCTACATCCATTCACAGATTAGCTTTGGCTTTGCCCCCCATGAAATATCACCAGATTTTTATTATTTTTAATCACAGTCCCTTCTTATCACCTTGTTAAACATGAAAACCAGGAAGGAAATCTACTTGGAAAAAAAAAAAAAAAAAGGGCTTCTTGGCAGGGTCAGATTACTGTAGGGAATGTGGTACCCAGGAATAAATTGCAGCAAGAGCACAGCCCACAGCTGACGGCTACCATCAGGCCACCTCTCTCAGCTATACTATTGAGATTCTGGGATTTGTGGAGAGAGCATGTAGAAGACTCTACCGGCGAACAAAAAAAACACCCCTCTCTCTGCAAAGGGCAAGTCAAGCTAGAAGGAAAAGTCCATACCTCAATCTATAAAGAACTTCCTCAAAGGCAAGTCATAGCACTTGGCAAGACTGTTGGAAAAATATTTATCTTCTTGGCAAAACACAGTCACCAGTCACAGACAAACTAGAGATGATGCCTAGAGAATCAGTCACAGGCAATCCAGGGAAGTAAGCTACAATGATAAAGGAAAGGTCCTTAAGTCTCTATCAAATGCCTTGTTTCTACATCATCCTGTCTTTGCTGAGAGGAGTTATCAGCTTCCCCCAAAGGTATCCAGTAACGTCTCTGCAGCAGCACAGCAGAGATGTTTTGGCTGGGTATCTCAGCTTGCCACACTTCACAACTGCAAATTCTTATACCTCATGCTTTCCCATGTATCTTCCAGTCCTGGTAGCAGTCCAGGTGGCAGGGGAGAAAAACAAATGCTATTAAAGGCTCCAAGATTAGAAGAAGAAATTGAGAGCAATGCACTAAAGAACAGAACTAGCTCCAAAATTAGCTCACTGGCATGTTCCTCATCAAGCCTAAAGCGAACAGTAGAGCTGAAAGGGCAACACTGCAACAGCAAGAGGCAGCTTGCACACATCATGCCTGAGACCGAACAGCAGAACTTTACAGGGAGGCTTGCACTGGACAAGTAACCATGGGGGAGCCTTGACTCAACCTCCACTTGCATCAGCAGAAATATCACAACTGCAGAGCCGCCTGCAGTCACTATTCCAGACATGCGTGGCCTACAAAATCACTTGCTTTTGTCCTTTCTTTCATCT